GGTACTTAGATGAAATTGTCCACTAAACATAAATATTTTTAAACAGAAAATTACTTTTGACATCCAACGTGAATGACTAGTAGCGCCTAGTTTAATAAACTTAATTTCTCTGGTGGGTTCTTCACCAAGAAATATAACTGATAATTCGAGCAGCTCACGATAATCATCTCTTACTTGTTTGATTTTAAGAATTTATTAGCAAAAATTAACTAGTTCATGTCGTTTGTTCTCTGTAATTCTTAGAATAATAGCCGAGTATGCTATAATGTATGCAGAACGATCAATTTTAGACCGAGAAAATCGAAATCGTACAAACATTCGGTTATCAGGGCGTGTTGTCGCTGAAGGTAACACTGCTTGAAATGCTGCTCCAATGACTAATTCAAAAATATGATGTCTGCATGCAAGCCAAAATAAGTTTTTTCCAAGTTAACGTTCTAATAGTACACATGACCTATTGTTTTTACCAGTATTCGAAGATGATGTATCAAAACACATTGCAACGATATTTTTGTATAAATTCCATTCTTTTTCACTCAAACAATCGAAAACGGTTTGTGCCTGCATTTCTCCTGTTGAACAAGATAATTTTTTAATACTCTGTAATTTAATTNAGAGGATAATTTTTTAATACTCAGTAATTTAATTTCATCTCCACCTGACACCAATACTGGGAGACAGTCCACATATTGTAAATGAGTGAGGTCCAACATCAGTTTTCCATCCCAGTGAACTGTTAATTTGCTGTTTATTGTAAATGATTCTTTNTTCATTCCAGTGAACTATTAGTTTGCTGTTTATTGTAAATGATTCTTTAATAAAATTAGACATTTCTTGCCTTAATTTCTTACGATGTAGTTTTATCGTACTTCGAATACATGCAAACGTATCAATATTCTCTCCAAGACTTTTTAGTGTAGCTCCAATGATAAAGATGGCTTGCTGATCAGTGACCTTAGTTTTATCTAGCACCGCTGATTATTCTAATGTGATCAAAGGTTTTAATTTCTTTATTACTTTTTGATTTTTGAACTTTTTTATTTTTTTTTATTGACAACAAAATTATCGTTGGAATTAGTATTATCTCTAGAATGGTTTTCTTCTATATTTAAGGATGTAAAATCTTAAAAATTACTCAAATTTTGATTAGTAATTTTTTCTTAATAGAGTTGTTGTTTTTTTTTTTTGTTTATCTTTACGATTCTCTTTTTGCGTGGTTGGGTACGTCCACTGTAGACATAAGACCTCTTCTCCCTGGCATCCGTTGTGCCAGTAAAAACTGTCTATCTTCATCAATATTAATGTTTTTTAAAGCATCAGCGATATCGAAGAGATTAGTCATTTTTATTACATGAAACCCACATTCATGTTGTCGGTGAAGCTCTGTTTTTCTATTTTTATGTTTGAAAAGATTTAGCCATTGATTATAAAGTTTTTTAAACTTATTTACAGCATTATCTTTTCGAGTTGTCGGTATTCTTTCTTTATTCCAAACAAATGTAACTTCTTCGATCACTTTATTGCATGCATATTTAAACGACTTTTTTTCAATACGATAATTATGAAAGAAAACCCCTAATACTTCACCATTAGACGGCAAACGATTACCTGGTACAGTTGAAATAGGCTGACCAATTAAATAAATATAAGTATTACTTCACGTTATCATTTTTACTGTATAAATATATATATAATTAAAGTAGCACTGATTCATATGTAAAGCACACTGACAATTAACAATTAGAGTGACACAATCAATCAGCACACTGTTAACTAAAATATAATTCTACAATGATAATAGACGTACGTCAACCTTTAATCACATCGTCATAGTATAATATGTTATACACTGTACAATACATAGGAATAACCCTGTCAAAGGTGTAGATAAAATATTTTATTTATNATAGGAATAACCCTGTCAAAGGTGTAGATAAAATATTTTATTTATTGATATAGTAATAATACAGTCGTATAAGAAAATATTATAATTGCGATAATACTAATACTTATAATTATAGTATAGGAAAAATACCGTAGGTTATTCTGTACGATAGAAACTTTAAATTGCTTGGGATGG